CAGGGCAGCCCCAGCAGGCAGGAAGCAGGGCAGCCCCAGCAGGAAGCAGGGCAGCCCCAGCAGGAAGCAGGGCAGCCCCAGCAGGAAGCAGGCCACCTTCAGCATCACAAGTGTTGGGGAGAAGGGAGAGCTGCCTTGGGCATGGCGGGCTGCACAGGCTCTGCTTCTGTGGGCGTCTCTATACCACTGTAGAGAGTGGGAAAGAAAGTGGGGCTTGGTAAATTTGAATCCCAGCTCTTCAAGTACCACCCGAGTGGCCTTAGATAAGTTTCCCAGCTCCTCGGAATTTTGCTCTTCTTTGTGTGGGCACAACAACACTGACCTTGTGCTGTTTATCTAAGGGTTAGGAAGAATCGTATATAGCAGGGACATAAACGGTAGCTGCTACTTCTGTACCTCCACCTGGCAGTGCTTAGAGATGTGTTTGTTTTCTCCTTTGATGCCACCATAGACTCTGTGTGCAGATACCGAATATGACAACAGCATCTGCTCTACTGCCTCCCAGTGAACAAACCCTCAGAGCTGGCTGTAGGTAGGCCCAGTGCAATCAGATGCTTCCTGTAAAACATTGTCCTGCAGAAGTTGATGGAGTCCAGAGTCCATGCTCCATCTTCCCGCCCTCGATGTCTCTCCCTAGCACTGCACACCCTTGGGATTGAGGTGACAGCATGTACACTCAGGGGACTGAGGTAGAAGGATTTTGAGTTTGAAGCCATCCTGGGGTACATAATGAAACCCTGTCTCCAAAGTGCTTGCGTGTGTGCGCGTGTGCTTGCACACATGCCTGCAAATCAGAAACCTGCCACGTGGCCTCCCTGACTCCAGCCTTGTTGTGTTGCCATGGTGGTTTCTTCTCACCCCATCCTGGGTGCTACTGAAGAGGCCAAGCCTTATCTTTACCTTGTCCCTCTGGGACAGGCACTTGGATCTCCTTACCATGTCTTCCTCCATATCCACTGACCCTGTCCCAGAATGAAGGACAGTGCAGCCACCCCAACTTCATGCTCAAGTGCTGCCTCCCTTTCTGAGCCTCTCTGGATGTTCTTCTTGGTGTCCCAAACCCACTTCTCCCTGAGCCAGGAAGTGGTCCATACCACACACCTGCAAGCGGCTGGCATCCTTTAAGGCATCATTCACTGTCTGTTCCTCAGAGACAGTTCAATCCCTGGGATGTTTTCACCTGAGCTGGTGGGCATAATGGCTCTACCAGAGTCTTAACTCATAGAGATGTTTGCCTGATCTTCAGCCCTTTCACCTGAGGACTTAGCTCAATGCCTACTTTCTTAGCCTTCACTGGCCAACCTCTCCCCTACGCCACTGACAGAAGGGTTGTAGTGGAAATTCCTCAAAGGAAATTATGTCTACATCCTGGAATTTACTCCTCTGTGGCAATGCCCAACAGCTGTTGACCATCTTTTGTGAAATTTCTCAAAAATGGCAACTAAGTCACCCCTCAGACGTTGCCCTTTCAGGATGTGTAATCCCATTCCTGTGAGCACTGGGATCATCCACTGTGTCAGGCCCTTTGATTATCCAGGCTGTTTCTAAGCATTCTAAGTGTGCCCCTCTTCATGCCATGGACCTGTTTCCATGAACACCAGGTGCAACACAGCCAGCCTTAGAAGTGCCTCTGGCTTTGGCTTTCCTAAGGGTCACTGAGATGATGCCAGGACTGTAGGCCACAGGAGTCTGTCTGGAAAGGATACGAGTGAAGGACACTTCCTACCTGTATCCAAGGAAATAATGTTTGTTGTTATTACTGTTGCTGTTATTATTAATTTTCCCTTGAAATGTGTGAGGCTGACAGATAAGTCTGAATTCTGTTTATACACGAAGGAAGATGACTCAGTTGAAGGCCTATTCTTGTCTGAAACAAAGGCAGTCTGTCTCCACCTCTCCTACCATTGATCTTGTCATGGGGACACAGTTCCTTTGGTACAGGGGTCCATTTCCTGCTCTTGTCTGAGCACCCCTGGGCTTTGAGCACCGGGGCCAGTTCTGTGGACACCAGCTTGCCAGGCCTGAGAGAGGAGGAGCAGGACCTGTTTGCTAGACTTACTCCAGTGGTGCTTTTTTTTTCCCCTGAGTGGCCAGCCAGAGCCACTGTCCCAGTCCTGTCTGGTCAGCCAAGTCCACTGAGGGTGTTTTCAGGCCTTCTTCTGAAGTCAGGGGAGGCCAGCGGTGAAGGTGTCCTGAGGAGCAGCCTCCTCCCTTCACACATGCCTCTGAGCCCAAAATTTACAGACCACTTGGCTGTTTGCACTGGATTGACCCCCATTAAATTAATACCAAGTGATGAAAAGGCTCAGTGACAGTGGCGCTCAGCTTTCTCGTGAGTTAGAGTCAGAAATTCCACTGTTTCTGAAGACCCAGGAGACCTGAAAAGGTAGTCCCTCTATCTTCTTAGGTTCTCTCTCCACCTTCTGCCTACTAGTCCTATGGAGAAACACTGGCCGTGGAAATTCAGACCCTCTCTCCGAATAACCCATGTTTCTTCCCTAACAGGTGTTGTTTTCCCCAGCCCATTGAAAGTTGATCCCTGACCAAAAGCCCATGTGGACTACACTTGGCCTTCAATCATATTTCTACACCTTCTGCTGTCAGTAGAGAAACTGTCGGGGGGGGGGTGTTGCTTTGGGGCTTAAGTTTATTTATGAGGGTGTATGCGTTCCTATGCCTGTGCGTGGTTGCCAGATGACAACTTTGGAGAGTCATTTCTCAACTTCTGCTTTGCTAAAGCAGGGTCTCTCTTGATTTCTGCTCGCCAGACCACAAAGTTCAAAGCAGTTGTCCTGTCTCTGCCTCCCTCCCATGATAGGAGTTCTGGAATCACAGAAGACATGCTGCCACAACTAGCTGCTTCATAGATCCACCTGTGCTGGTTCTAGATTGGAGCTCTGGCCATCAGGCTTGAGTAGCTGAGGCTTCACCTGCAGAACTGTCTCCCTGCCCCAAGAAATGTGTTTTCATGCATTCATTCATGTTAAAGTGTCTCCACACAAACCTGCTTTCCTACCAGGGACATGGTGAACACTGGGATTGGCAGCTAGAGAGCTTCCATCCTTCAAGGAGACAGTCATTCAGTCCCAAGTGTGCTAGATACTGTGAGCAAGCTGAGGACAGGGATGGAGCCCACCCAAGGATGCAGGGTGCCTCCTTCCTGGCTAAGGGCCAAGGAGCAAATCCTGGGCATGAGCAGGATTTGTCTGGAAGGGGATAAAGAGGGGGTGGGTTTGCTGTAAACAAACCTTACTTGGATTGCTGAGGGAAGACAGGCAGCTATCAATACTCCAGGTATTTAGTGATTTTATAGGCCAGTGAATTCAGCAGGGCAAGAAAGCAAAACAGTTTCAGCCAGTGTAACCGCATTCAGAACACTGCACGGAGCCATTTGGTGTGGGCCTGGTGTGGGCCTACACTGAAAACAGACAGGTGGGCTCGGCACAGTGTGCCCTGTTCTTGCAGCCCACATTATTGTCCAGTTCACAGACATGTTACCACACTTGCCTCACCTCCTCTAGCAGGGATCCAGGCTCTGTGGATTCTAGGAACATTGCTGGCCCCCCTCAAGTTCACCTCAAAGCATTAAGAGCGCCTGTTGTTGTGTGCCTGGTGTCTTCGGCTCTTCAGTGGCCATGGACAGATGTTTCTGTGTCCTGCAGAGACCACCCTAATGTGGTGGTTCTTTCCCACACCACTGGCCAATGGGGTGGTGCTCGCTCATGCTGAAGAGAGCACCTCATCTGCCTAAGTACTTAGCTGGTCACCTGTGCTTGGAAGTGCGTTTAACCATTCGGTTCTCGTTTTGTTTCTGAAGGCTCGGCCTGTCTGTCGAGAACATCGTCCGTGATTGGCTTGAGTGTTCCGGAATACCTAAGGTACCTGAGATAACTGTTTGAGGGACAGAGTGAAGCTGGCTGCCAGCCTCTCAGTCCAGACAGTGATGTTTTTTTAATATGTCTATGAAAGTCTTGGCTCCTGGTAGTCATTGGCTTGAGTATTGTGGGGTAGATTTTAATATGTCTATGAAAGTCTTGGCTCCTGGTAGTCATTGGCTTGAGTTTTCTTTGGTTCACTGGATGTGACCAATGCCTACTGCATTGTGTATTAAGTGAAGTCATCCACATCATGCTGGGCATTTTGGGTGGAGTCTCCAAGCAACAGTTTTGCCACAGCTTTTACCTGAACATGGTACTTATTTTCCTCCCAATCCCTGCCTTTCAACTTCTCCCCTATTGTACATACGGGACTGCATCCGGGCACTTCTCTATCCGTTTTGTCATTGCTTTGTCTTGGGGACCTGGACTCAGTTTTCCCCCCACCCCTCTTTCAGGTCATGGGTCGCCATGAGAGAGAAACCTTCACCAGCCCTATGGGAAACACCCACCCTAGAGCTGCATATCTCCCAGGTCTATGCTTCTAGAATCCTTGGGGTGATCCAAGCTCCTCCCTAGCTGGAATGCGGGGATAAGGACCAGACTTACTATTGTAGTAGGCTGTGGTGGCTATCGAGTTTGGCCCTGCATTCCGGCAAGCTGCCCCTGTAGACTGCTGAATTCTGGTTTTGCAGCTAGTCATATGAGCAGCTGCTTGTGGGGGGCGGGGGTGGGGTGGGGTTGGCGTCTAAGTGTCAATGAATTTCTGTGACCCGTGAAATGCAGTGAAGGGTGTTCAAGTGGCCTTCAAACCAAGAGAAATGTGACTATATCAGCCACCTTTAGCTCACCGGGAGTCACTACCTTCAGTTCAGAATGGATGCCACCCAGCTCAGTTAACTTGTTTGGTTCAGTCTCTCCGGGAACCAACAAAAAAAAAAAAAAAGGGAGGGGGGGGGAGAAAGAAATGAGCCGGGCATTGGTGGTGCACACCTTTAATCCCAGCACTCGGGAGGCAGAGGCAGGCGGATCTCTGTGAGTTCGAGACCAGCCTGGTCTACAAGAGCTAGTTCCAGGACAACCTCCACAGCAACAGAGAAACTCTGTCTCAAAAAACGAGAGAGAGAGAGAGAGAGACAGAGACAGAGACAGAGACACAGAGAGAGACAGAGAGAGAGAGGGAGGGAGAGATGAAAACTAAACCAAATCAGTGAGGTGAGGCTGCACCAGGCCTGGAAGGCAACAATTTAAAGTCAGGTGTGTCATGAGAGCCTGTGGTTTCTAACAAGGTGACTTCCAACAAGATGACTCGCTGAGAACCAGTCTCACCCTCAAGTGTTTTAGGTGGGGGCGTTGCTGGCAGTCTCCGTGGAGTTTGCTTTGTGGGCCTGTGCCAGGCTGTAGAAGGCTCCTGGGCATTCTTGGTGTGGCCAAAAGCTGGGGAGTCACTCAGCCACTCCCCAGTTCCCGGCTCTAGAACAGGACTCTCATTTGCACCAGCTCACCAAGAGGGAGGAAAGCTCCCCCCCAGCAGCGCACGCCCAGAAGCAGGCTGCTCCAGGTACTCTTAGTGTCTTCTTACAAACTGCAGAAAGGAATATGGAAGAGTGAGATTTGCCTCTGAGCAGAACCTTTTCTTCCAAAGTTCTAGTTGCATTAGTGATAGCTTAACACAGACAGATTTTCTACCTAGAGCTGATGAAGCCTGCTGTCAAAAGGGCCAGGTGCAATGAGGCGGCTCACCCGCTGTAACTCATCTTAAAGGCCCACTGGCATGTCCCCGGGTGCCTAGCTGTTCAGTAAACACAACAGCAGCCGGCAGAGAGACGGAAAGAAAGAAGCCTGATTTAGTGCAAAAGTGATGAGTGATCACAGGTCTCTTTTCCTCATCCCCTCCGCCACCCAGTTCTCTGGTTATTTCCCTGGCTGCTGGGGATCTACCTGCTCTTAGCCCCTTTCACACTCCTTGTAAGTTTCTTTTTGTTTCCACTTGAGTGAAATTCTTGGCAGGGCCTGAGACCCCGTGGTGGCAGGAGCTTGCAGTGAATGGGACACCTTGTTCATCATCATCATGTAAAGCTACTATCGTGCCCGTTGCGGGAGTGTCAGCATCCTGCTCTTTGTTCTCTTCAGAATTTCTGTCCTCCAGCATTTGAATTCTCTGATGACAGAGTCCCATGTTCTCTCATGAAGTTTCCATCCCATAGGCTACAGGGGCTTATTGTCTCCTCGGGAAGGTCTGCCTCAATTTCCTTTACAGCTACACTGAATGGAAATTATAAAAAGAAAGTTAAGTGGACATAGCTTCAGGAGCAGTTCAGAAGTGGTCAGGAGACCCACAGAGATGAAAGAATTGGAACCCAACCTCTTTAAAGACTACCCTTCAGCCCTGCCACCTTTGTTTGACCTTGCAAAGACTGAAATTGTCTACGTCCTCAGTCTTGCTGTCTTCCATGACAATTTTTCTAAGAAAACATTGCACATTTATTTTAGGATTTAAAAAAGCTTCTAAGTAAGAAAATTAAAAAGACCCAGAGGTGACTTTTATTTTTCTTTGCTGTGGTCTTCGAGGCAGGGTCTCATATAGCCCACACTGGTCTTGGACTTTCTCGTAGCTGAGGCTGCCACACCCTCCTGTCAGTACCTCCTGCTTGCTGGGATTCCAGGCATGAACCACTGTGGCTGGCATCCAGGGAGAACACTTTGGTACACACCTTTTCAGCCATCATTCAGAATCTATAAGTACATATGCTGTCCTTTCTCTACCTTTTTTGTTTGGTTTTGAGGTACAGGAGACAGAACTTGGCCCTGAGCATGGCGGATATGCTCTCTACCATTTATAAACTTTAAAACAATACACTTTGAGCATGGCGGATATGCTCTCTACCATTTATAAACTTTAAAACAATACATACACTCCCTGTAGCAAGGCCAACCAGAAGCAGAGTCTAAACTGTGGGGCTGCTGCTGTGTGTGTCTCAGTAGTGATCCCGGCCTGTTGACAGCTGACTGTGAGCCTCACACCTGCTTTCTGGGAAGTGTAGTAGGTGTCCAGCCTTTCAAAAATAAATTAGAACTTTAGGAGTTTTTAGACAGTGTATCTCCACTATGGTTGAGCACCAATTGAAGGATAATGAGTTCTCACTAGACCCAAGATAAATGATAAATGGGTGTTTTATTGGGTAATAATAAAGAACCGCTACAGCCTTCTCTGCCCTTCTGATCTGATCCACAACCCTTACATCAGAGAGAGAGAGAGAGAGAGAGAGAGAGAGAGAGAGAGATGCCTCTCATGTCCCTCTTTCTGATTGTCCGCACCTAAAGCCACACCCAAAGGGGTATGGCCACTAACACAAATGCACTGGTAAGTCTGGGTGCCGCTAGTTTTCCTTTTTCCTTTGCTATAAACTGAAGAGCAAGTGTTGATGGCTGTGCTGCTTCCTGAGAGATGGCGCCAGACTAAATTTTGTCAGCTTCCCAAACCCATATCAGAATAGTAGACAGCCGTCTCCTGGTGTCCACCAGGGATTGGTTCCAGACCACCCCACAACCCCCAGGGTACCTAGCCCTTTAATATAATGCCCTAGTGTGTACATACAGTCCCCTCAATTCCCCATGTGTGTGAAACCCCAGGCAGGGTGAAGATACCATTGACCAGATACTTGACGGGTATACTCAAGCAGTACCATCCATGCCTGTTTCTTTTCGTGTCTGTCCTAAGGTAGTCACGTTTCTGTACAGAGCACTAGAGATGGCATTTTTCCATCCAGGCTCTTCAGTTCTCCTTGGTTAAATTGCTACTGAGCCTCTGAAGCCTCCTCTCATGCTACGATCCTTCTGGAACTTGTCAAGTCCTGAGGTCCCTGTGTAAGCAAATCCGCAGTCCCGTTCCCCAGGACCTGCACCATTTCCTCATTGTATTTTGTCTGGGCTAGTGAAGTAGCCAATTGGTCATGTAGCAGCCAAGTTCTTGTCTGTCTTTCTGTCTGTCTGTCTATCTGTCAATATCAAGTGAGTTTTCCCAAAACAAAGCTCAGAGCAATCCTCAGTGAAGCTCTCTTCATTGACCGTGTTCTGAGAATGCTCTCTGGCACACTGGTTGACACTTCCAGGATTGCCCAAGGCTGTCCTGTTGAGAACTTTTCCTCCCACCCTTCGAGGTCTTGTCTGACAGAGCACTGGCTGGCAATGCGCAGCATTAAGTACATGAACTATGTCTAGCACGCCCACACACCTAAATTTCTTTAATTACTGAGCCAAGGTCCCATGGCAGAGCCCAGGCTGAGCTAACGCTGGCCATGTAGCCCGGGCTGACCTAGGACACACAGACCCTGCTGGTTCTACCTCATGACAATGGGATTGTAGGCCTTATAAACACTTGGCATGAGTGGCTCATCAATTGACTAGACTGGCTGCCCACCAACCTCCTGAGATCCTTTTGTCTCTGCACCCCAGCACTGGGCTAAGAATGCTTGTCTCCATGCCCAGCTTTTACATCTCCTCAGACCTGCAACTGAAAAGCTTTAACTGCTATGTGTGGTCTGTGTGTGTCCTGTTGACCAGAACTGTTCTCATGGCCTGTGTGCATTGTTGAGTAGAACTGTCCTCATGGCCTGTGTGTGTTGTTGAGTAGATCTATTCTATGGCCTGTGTGTGTTGTTGAGTAGATCTGTTCTATGACCTGTGTGTTTGTTGAGTAGAACTGTCCTCATGCCCTGTGTGCATTGTTGAGTAGAACTGTCCTCATGCCCTGTGTGCGTATTGTTGAGTAGAACAGTATTTATGCACTGTATGTTTGTGGTTGAGTAGATCTGTTCTATGGCCTGTGTGTGTTGTTGAGTAGATCTGTTCTATAGCCTGTGTGTTGTTGAGTAGAACTGTCCTCATGGCCTGTGTGTGTGTTGTTGAGTAGAACTGTCCTTGTGGCCTCTGTGTCCTGCTGAGCAGTACTGTTCTGCAGCTGTTAGTCAAATTAACATGTGAGTTCATCATACCTTAAAGTC